GGAAGGAAGGAAGGAAGGAAGGAAGGAAGGAAGGAAGGAAGGAAGGAAGGAAGGAAGGAAGGAAGGAAAGAAAGAAAGAAAGAAAGAAAGAAAAAAGGAAAGTTAAGGTCTGTGAATTTAAGATAGCCTGCAATACTGAAAGAAAATTTCAGATTCCTTTGCACACTTTAAAGATTTATTAACAGATATATGTAGCTAGATAAACATATGCAAATACATACAGATATATAAAGATATCTATGTAATATCCATTTATGAGTATGTTTTGTAAAAAAAAATAAATAAATAACCAAATTAAAAGTAAGTCAGGAGAGAGCTTCAAAACAGCCTGGTGGCCTCACTTCATATCCCAGCCTGTCCATCTGTCCAGCAGCCAATGCAGCCGTCAGAACTGGCACATCCTGCTCTGGGCTTTAAACATGACCACTTGCCCCCCATGCCCTGTGAAAATGTTGGTGCTTTTTGCTTTCATCATCACCTTCCACATCAACTCTGCAGCCTTGCGGGTTCATCGCCACCATCAACAATGCCTGGTAGGTAGGAGATGAGTTTTTGCAGATGTCTGGAGATTATGTACCAACAACATGAATTATACAGTAATCAATGACACGTTTAAAAAGTACTCCATACTCCGGGTGGTCCAGGCCACCGTGATCCTCTCCACCATTCTCTGCTGCATTGCCTTCTTCATCTTCATGCTCCAGCTCTTCCGCCTGAATCAGGGAGAGAGGTTTGTCCTAACCTCCATCATCCAGCTAATGTCATGTCTGTGTGTCATGAATGCGGCCTCCATTTATACAGACAGGCGTGAAGACATTCACGAGAGAAACACGGAATTCTATTACCTGACCAAAGAAGGCAGCAATGGCTATTCCTCCATCCTGGCGTGGGCGGCCTTCACCTGCACCTTCAGCAGCGGCATGATGCACCTGATACTGAGGAAGGGCAAATGGAGTTCCGGAGCTTGGTTGCTTCTGCTGCAGTACAGAATCCACATTCAGATAACCATTTTGTATATAGTCATTATTTTTTTGAGGTTTTTCTAGCAAATGTATTGTTTCTTTTAAAAGCCAAAAAAAGAAAAAGAAAAAATTCCAAAAGGAGAAGAGTTTTTGCATTCTTGAGTTCAGAGAATAGACTCTGAAGGCTGGTATTCAGAACTGCTGTGCACTCAAAAGTCTCAAGACACAAGCAAAGCTCCAGCAAAGCTCAAATCCAAAAGCGCTTGGCGGGACATTTCTTAACCATAGGGTTGTGAAGGGAGGAGATGAGAGGCTGGGAAAGCCAGGTCTCTGGGGATGTGCTTCCTATAGGTTTTAGCTGGCTCAAGCTCCTCCCAAATCGCTCTGCTAGTGGTAGGTGAAAGGGGGTGAGGTGGGTTGCAGGAGAGGAATGACAGTTTCCTGAAAGGTTTAGCCCAAGTTCCAAGTGAGAAGCAGGTATTGTCCCTGACATTCTGTCTGTATCCAAACCAGAGCCCAATCAACCCTCCTGTATAGGGGCGCGTCAGAAAAAGTTTCACCTAAATTTGCTGACAGTGTCACCTGCTTGCCTTAGGAATGGCGATCCTTTACTTGCATGCCAGATTTATACTCACCCTTTGGCAAAACCTACAGTCCCCCCGCCCCCCCCCCAGACCTACAGAATCAGTCTTCAAGGGATGAGGCCAGTGAATCTGCTTTTCTAACATGCTCCCTGGGCAACACTTCAGATGCATTGAAGTTGGGGACCACAGTCCCTGGGCCAAGTGAGCAGAGCTGCCTCATAAATGCTAGGATGTCATCATGTGGAGATGGGGAGGTGGGTGTAACCCCCACAGCAGGCCAAAACCTTGGCCTCCATCACCACAGCTGTCTACATCCAGGGTCACCAAACTCCATTCCTGGGCCATGTGAACTCATAGACACCTTCAGGGAGCGGGGTGCAGCCTCCTTCCCATCCTATCCCACAAGCCCTCTCCCTTCTTGTCCAGCCCTTCATGCTACACCTGGCTGGCCTCTCACCCCTATTTCTGGAGCCTCAGAGGATGCATCCACCATTCATTCATCAACATAAATCATGACATGCATGCATGTACCAGGCACAGGGGATACCCTCTCAAGACAATCTCCTTCTAGGGCTCATGGCCTAGTGGAGGAGACAGATTAATAATTAATTAGAAAAACTAGCAGGGCACAGTGGCTTACACTTGTAATCCCAGCACTTTGGGAGGCCAAGGCGGGTAGATCACCTGAGGTCAGGAGTTCAAGACCAGCCTGGCCAAAATGGCAAAATCCTGTCTCTACTAAAAATACAAAAGTCAGTTGGGCATTGTGGTGCATGCCTGTAAACCCAGCTACACGGAGGTTGAGGCAGGAGAATCACTTGAACCCAGGAGACAGAGGTTGCAGTGAGCCGAGATCATGCCACTGCACTCCAGCCTGGGCAACAGAGCGAGACTCCATCTCAAACAAACAAAGCCCCAAAACACAAGAAACTAATTACACACTGTGATGAGGCTGCAAAGAACACCACTAAGAATTCAAAATCAACCTGGCACAGTGGCTCACCCCTGTAATCCTAGCACTTTGGGAGACCGAAACAGGCTGATCTTGAGGTCAGGAGTTCAAGACCAGCCTGGCCAACGTAGTGAAACCCCGTCCCTACTAAAAATACAAGAAAATTAGCTGGGCATCATGGCAGGTGCCTATAATCCCAGCTACTTGGGAGGCTGAGACAAGGAGAATCGCTTGAACCTGAGAGGTGGAGGTTGCAGTGAGCCGAGATCACGCCACTGCACTCCAGCCCAGGCGACAGCCCAGCCCAGCCCAGAGACTCCGTCTCAAAAAAATAAATACATAAATAAAATAATTCAAAATCGAGGCCTGTGGCATGGAAGGGAGCCTGCTTTATGTGTGCCTATTTTTAAATGCTCCTGGAGGCATTTAGATCAGTCTAAATATAGCTCCATTCAGTTCGTGCAGATGGCATTTATTGGGCAGTACCCATCTGTGTAACATTCAGAAAACACGTCCATGGAGGGGCCCATGGTCCTGACAGCAAATGCAGTGAGAGGATCCCATAGAGCCAGGGTTTTCAAGCTTTAGGGGTTCCCTTGCTGCTTGGGACAGGCTATTTCAGTGAGTCTGGGGGAAGGATTCCCAGGTGATTCTAAGACTATGCTGAGAAATAGAGCTTTTGGGGGCTTGTCCTTCAGGATCAAAGCATGATGTGCTATGCAGCAATGCAGGTCACCCAGGAACTCTCCCAGGCTAGAAGCTCTTTGCACCTCGTTGTCTTTTTCTGCTTATGTTGGAGCAGGATGCTGGGAGCTGTCCTGGGATGGGGTGTGGGACCTTGTGCTATTTAAATACTTTTGCACTTGACCTTGTGCTGAGTGAAGTGATGATTTGCCATCAGCTCGCTTCCAGTGGAACTGAAGAGACACCTGGTTTGGGTAGTTTTAGGGCAACTGTGGATATCTTTTCAATGCAGGATTTGTTCTTTCCATCTACTCTTTCATTCATTTTTGACAAATGGTATTAAATGTTTACCATGTTCCAGGCAGTGTGTAAGGCTCTGAAAATGCAGGGGTGAGCAAATCTAGATAGCCTCCCTGCCATCGTGAAGTTTGCAGTCCATGAGATAGGACCCCCTCCCTATGGAGAAGCCACCAACGCAGTACAGGGTGGCTTGGGGCCACACACAGGACAAATGACACCTTCTGCCTCAATGAGAAACTATCATTGGTCATGTGGGCAAGAACATGTTTTACACCCCCAGGGTTAACAGGATGCTACCCAAGCTCATGGAGAAAGTTGAATCTTAAGTTTCCTTGAAACTTTCTACCTTGGTGGCTTTTCTATAATTTTCTGGTAGTCACAATGGAAACAAACAAAACACCTTAAAACCAGAGATCAGCCCCCAAGCAATACATGAATTCCCTTCACAAAAAATGTCAGGGCTGCATGAGTATCTGTGTTGAATGCAGTCTGAGATGACCCTGTGGATTTTCCTGGCTGGTTGCCACTACTGTACAACATTCAGTGCCCACATCCACCGGTGCCAGTAAGGTTTTATGAGACATGAGAAATGCCTCTTCCCTGCTATGTGACTTGCATTTGGGAAGTTGGAAAGAAATAATGACATCAGGGAGAAAACATTCAACCTTCTTACCTGTAGGTAGAATCAGCCTTCACTTGGTGCTTATTACCAGTTATTCAAGAACAATAACAACAACAAAATTAGTTGACATCCAAGAAGCAGATATTAGGACCAAAGATAGCATCAACTATATTTGAAGGAACTGTAGTTTGTGCATTTTATGGCACTTTTATAAAGTACTGTAATTCTTTCATTGAGGGGGCTATGTAATGGAGACAGACTAACTCATTTTGTTATTTGCGTTAAAATTAGTTTGGGTCTCTGTTCAAATGAGTTTGGAGAATGTTTGACTTGTTGGTCTGTGTGAATGTGTCTACATATACCTGAATACAGGAACATCGGAGACCTCCTCACTCCCACACTGCTATAGTTTGCATGCATTTGTGCACACCCCTCATGCACAGGTTGAAATTCTAGGATGCTCTATGTTAGCTGATGATGAAGAAACATAAAACTCCAAGCCTGTTTGTAAACACGATAAACACAGTGGCCTAGATAAAAGCTGTATCATAGTTTAAAATCTGCCTTATGGGATATTACTAAATATCACTAATAGTTATCGCTAACTATTATTTATTACTAAATATCGCTAAAAGGTTACTTACAACAGAGCAAGTTGGACAGTTTTGTGGTGGTGTGGAAATGCTAGGACAAGGCTAGAGGTTAATTTTGAATCTCGGTTTGGGGATAAATGTGAATTTAGGGTAGTTAGAAACTTTCTACTTAATGTACCTTCAAAATAGTCAATTTTCTATGTTTTGCATAATCTGCAACTGTACATGGAAAATAAACTTTAAAACCAAAAAAAAAAAAAAAAAAAAAAAAAAAAAAAACTAAGTCAGAGGTCATTTCCCTACTTACTCTTCTCAGGCGAGGTGAATACAATCAATCCATTTACTCAGCCCTGATGATTCCAATCAGCCAATTAGCTCAGCCCAGTTTATTCCAATTAGCCAATTAGCTTGGTCTGGGTAATTAGCTCAGATCAGGTAAATCCAGTCAATTACCTCATTCCAGATGATTTCGATCTGCCAATTAGGTCAGCATTTTTTATTTCAATCAGCCAATTAACTCCAATCAGGTAATTACAATCAATTAGCTGATCCCAGGAGATTAAAATCAGCTAATTAGTTCAGCCCCGGTGACTACAGTCAGCCAATATTTGAGTCCCAGATTATTTTAATTGGCCAATAAGCTCAGCCCAGGTGATTTCAATCAGTGAATTAGCTCAGCCCAGGTGGATTCAATCAGCCAGTTCTCTGAATATCAATTGTAGATTAATCAAGATGGACCCCCAGTGGTGGATGAGAATAGCTCATGCATATACTGAGAAGAAAATCAAAGTCCAGAAATGCTAACCTGGACAGAAAGTGTTACATGGCTTTAATATCAGCTTATTTCCCAGACCTTGTCCCTGAAAGTGAAGCTTAGTTTGTCTATACAAACAACATTGTATAGCTACGTTCCATTCTGACATGCTACTGAGACAGAGAAGAGAAATAATTCTACATCTTCACCCTTAGAATATGCTAAGAGATTGAGAAACGTCTTGAGGAACAATTTTTGTGTACATATTTACATAGAAATACTCATATAATCTTGTATATGTATCAGTCTTTGTATGTACATTCATACAGGACAAAGATAGAGATTGTGGAAGGATTAATAGGTACTGTAACTAATAGTAATGCAAAAAGAAAATAAGATCTCACACATGGATCAAGTCAGTTGTTGAGATTGTGACTCATCTATTTGGATCCAATACACAGGTGTTGACTCTCATACCTAGAACTGGGACATGCATGAGATTGTTAATCTCATTACTGGGACTTCCTGCAGGTGTGATTGTGACATGCACCTCACAGAACCTTTGTGATTTGACACATCTGCCTGGGCCCAACCCAGATGGAATTGTGACATATCATTGGACTCAGCCCCTAGGTGATGTCACTCTATTCTTCAGATTTACCACTGCTCACAGGGGATTGTAACATCTCACTGGGCCTTATATCCAGGTGATGTGAGTCTCCTTTCCCTCTTTGTTGCTGCCAACAGGGGGCATTTTGACCTAAAACTGAGCGCCACACCCAGGTTATGTGACTCTTTTGTCTGTGTCTGGCCTATACTGGCCATTGTGACATGTTGCTTAGTCTAACACCCAGGTTATGTAACTCTTTTGCCCTGGCCCTGCCTACAGAGAGCATTGTGAGGTATTTCTGTGTCCACCACAGAGGTGATGTGATTCTCTATTGACTGTTCCCTTCTCAAAGGGGTTACTGTGACATATCGCTGGGCCCAGCACCTAGCTTATGTGACTTTTCTCTCCTTTTTTATGTTTCTTTTGAGATGGAGTCTCATTGTGTCATCCAGGCTGGAGTGCAGTGGAGCAATCTTGGCTCACTGTAGCCTCTGCCTCATAGGTTCAAGCGATTCTCCTGCCTCAGCCTCCTGAGTAGCTGGGATTACAGGTGCCTGCCACCATGCCCAGCTAATTTTTGTATTTTTTGTAGAGATGGAGTTTCCCCATGGTGGCCAGTCTGGTCTTGGACTCTGACCTCAAGCGATCTTCCCTCCTTGGCCTCCTAAATAGTTGGGATTACAGGAATGAGCTACCGTGCCCGGCCAACTTTTCCCTTCTTTATAGGTTCTGCCCACAGAGAAAGCTATAACATATTGCTACACTCAACACCAAGATGGTGTTACTCTTTTGGCTCTGCTCTCAAAACGTACTGTGATATATTTCTTTTCCTACCACCAACGTGATGTGAGTCTCCTCCCTGGGCCCTGTCCACAAGGGGCAATATGATATATCTCTGGGCCCATCAACCACTTGATGTGACTCTGCTCTCTTACCTGAGCATTGCCCAAAAAAGAAATTGGGACATATCCGTGAATCCAGATCTTAGGTGATATGACTCTTCTCTCCTGCCTGGGCCATGCCTAAAAAAGAGAGAGTGACGTGTTGCTTAGTCCAGCACACAGGTTGTGTGATACTTCTTCCTGACCTCTGCCCAAACAAGTAACTGTGACATAACTCAGGTTTTGTTACCTAAATGATGTGATTCTCCTCTTTTTCTGGAGACCCATCTTCAGTGAAGGTTGTGACAAATTGCGTGGCCCAGCACCTATGTGGTGTGACTCTACTCTCATGCCTGGGACCTGTCCACTGGGTGATTGTAACATACAGCTGGGCCCAGCTTCTAGATTATGTGGCTCTCTTCTTTTTCTGAGTTCTACCCACAGGGAGTATTGTGAGATATCTCTGGGACCCCTCATGTAAGTGATGTGATTCTCTTGCCTGTACCCTCCCCTCAGCAGGTATTGTGACACGTTGCTGGACCCAGCACCTAGGTGATGTGACTCTCCTCTACTACTTGGGCTGTGCCCATAAAAAGGATTGTATAGCTTGGCCCAACAAGTAAGTAAAGTTACTATCGTCTCATGCCTCAAACCTGTACACATTGTATATTGTGACATATTTCTGGGTCCAACACCTAGCTGATGTGACTCTCCCGCATGGGTCCTGCCCACAAAACTATTATAAGATGTATTTTCATTCATCACGTAGGTGATATAACTTTTCTTTCTGCCTGGGTCCTGCCAAAATAGAAAATTGTGATATATAATTGGACCCAGTACCTAGGTGATGTGACTCTCCTTTTTTGCCTAGGTCCTGCATAATTTGGGTATTGTGACATATATCACTGGGCCCAAACCCTAGCGAACAGAAGGCTTCCGTCCGGACCCTGCCCACAGGAGACCTTGTGACATATATCTGTATCCATCACACAGGAGATATGACTCTCCTCTTCTGTCTGCATCATGCGCACAGGAAAGATTGTAGCATATCATTAGGTTAAGCAACCAAGTGATGTATTTTGACTGCCTGGGTCTTTCATAGGTGGGCCATTATGACATATCTCTGGTAACACCTACTATCTGATATTACTCTTCTCTTTTACCTGGGTTTTGCCCGTGTAAAAGATTGTGACATATCTCTTTGCCCAGCACCTGGGTAATGTGACCGTGCTCTTCTGCCTGGGCAATGTCCACGGAAATGAGAGTGACTAATCACTAGGCCCAGCACACAAGTGATGTAATTCTTCTGCCTAGTCTCTGCCTAAAGAGGTCACTGTGACATGTCTCTGGGCCTATCACCATGGGGATTATGACGTATCACTTTGCCCAGCACCTACATGATGCGACACTCTTCTCTCTAATGGACCTGCCCCTAGGGTGATTGTGTCATAGAGCTGAGCCCAGCTTCTAGGTAATGGGACCTTCTTGTTTTTTGTGAATACCCAAAAATGGAATTGCCACATATCTCTGAGATTCTCATGAAGGCAACACTTTCCTGGGACCTCTTCTCAGGGGGTATTGTGACATATTGCTATACCCAGAATCTAGGTAATGTGACTCATGTTTACTGCTTGAGCTTTGCCCAAGAAGTGATTGAGATGTATTACTGGGCCTAGTACCTAAGTGATGTGACTCTCCTCTCTTTCTAAAGTGCTGCAGACATTGTGATTTATTTTTGAGTCCAACACCTAGAAGACGCAACTTTTCTGCACAAGCCCTGCCCACAGGGGAATAATGACATATCTTTTCATTCATCACATAGATGATGTGATTCATCTCTTCTGCTTGGGCCCTGCCAAAAAAATAGAAAAAGAAAAGGAAAAGAAAAAGTGGTTATTGTAACATATCATGGGATAGATTGAGCACCTAGGTAATGTAACTGTTCTCTTTTATATGGTATGTCTCTGGGCCTATCACCATGGGGATTATGGCATATCACCTTGCCAAGTCCCTACATGATGTGACACTCTTCTCTCTAATGGACCTGCCCTACATATGGATGGACCAAATAATGGACCTGGACCTACACATATGTTAGGTATTGTGACCTAATACTGATCCCAACTTATACTGGATGAGAGACTCCTGCCTGGGGTATGAGTATCAGAAGACTTGTGACATATCTTTGCATCCATCACCTAAGAGATGTGACTCTCCCCCTCTGCTTTCATGCTGCTTATAGGAAAGATTGCTACACATTGTGGAACCCAGAAACCAGGTGTCTTTTATGCCTGAGTTTTACCCAGAGGTCACAGTGTGACATTGTCACTGAGCCCAGCATCCGAGTGATGTGTTGCTGTTTTCTGTGCTCTGCTTTCAGTGGGGAATTGTAACATATCCCTGGCTTAGAACCCAGGTGATATGTCTCTTTTTTCTGGTCCCTTCTTTCAGAAAAGATTGTCACATATCTCTGGCCCAGCACTTAGGTGATGTGACTCTTCTGTTTCCTCCCTACCCACAGGTAGGAGTTTGACATATATATTGGCTCAGTGCACAGGTGCGATACTGACTCTAATATTTTGAACCAGCCAAGAGGACGAATACTGTGTCTCATAGATAGGGGTAGACAAATGGGTAAGATCCTAGGTTTCCTTTCTGTACAAAGGTTATAAAAGGTTACCACTCTCTTCCATGTTGTATAAAACCCTCGGGTGGTAGAGAGAGTGGAGTGTCATCACAAGGCCCAGCATGCAGATGAGATTGTGTTGCTTGTGTGCTCACCCTGACAACCATTAGGACTGTCACCCTCACACATGAGCAAAGCCCACTAGTGAGGAACTTAATCTCACACACTACTGGATGCAGTCCACAGTTAAAATTGTGACATTCATTTGTGAATTCTGTTCAGAATTGTGATGGTGACTCATTTTTAAACCCAGCTCTGGCAGGTTAAAAACTCTCCTATCTGGACCCAGCCAATTAGAAAGATGTTGACTGTCATACCTGGGCTTAAAGCTACAGACACTATCACGGGTCCATACCAGCACAAAGGATTTAGAGGAAATTGTGACTCCCACGCATACCATATAAAGCCCTTGGGTGATACAGAACGTGACTTCACATGGCCCTAAAAGAAGGTAAGATTGTGACACTCTTGCACACACAAAGCAAACAGTAAAGATGATCATCCTTTCACAGCCCACCATTGAGGTTCTGAATCTCATACCTGGAGACAGTCAAAAGTTGGAAAATTGACTCTCATGAGTGGATCTGGTCTGCAGGTTAATTGGTGCTTCTCAGGCCAAAATCTAGCACACCTGTAAGATTGTGATTCTAGTAAGGGAACACGGTACACAGAAAAAAATTGAAGCTCTCATGAGTGGATTCAATCCGTTGTAGAGATTGTGCCTCATGTGTTTAGCAGCAACATACAGGAGGCATTGACTCTCATACCTAGAATTTGGACGTGTGTGGAATTTTTAATCTCATCCTTGGACTTTCTTGCAGGTGTGACATGTGCCTCTTCCCAGCACCTAAATGATTTGACTCTCCTTGTTTGGGACCAGCCCACAGAAGGGATTGTGACATATCACTGAACTCAGAAGCTAGGTGATGTGACTTAACTCTCTTTCCTTGACAATGTCCACAGGGGCATTGTGACATAGTGGTAGGCCTTGCTCCTAGGTGATGTGAGTCTCCTGCTCTGCCTTGGTGATGTCTACAGGAAGCATTGTGACATATTGCTGGACCTGGCACCAAGGTGATGTCACTTTTTTGCCTTAGTGCTGCCTTCAAAAGGCATTATTACAAATTGCGTGGACTATTACCAAGGTGATTTGAGTTTCTTGCTTGGACCGTTCCCACAGTAGGTGTTGTGACATATCACCTAGGAAATGTGACTCTTCACCTCTGCCTGCACCCTGACCACAGAAATAATTGTGATATATCACTGGATCCAGAAACCAGATGACGTGCTTCTTTTGCCTGAAACTTTGTCACAAAAACCATCATGACATATCTCTAAGTCTCTTACCTTGGTGATGTGATTCACTCTCCTGCCTGGAGCCTTCACTCAGAGGGTATTGTGACATATTGCTGGACCAAGCATTTAGGTGATGTGACACTCTCAACATCTTGGACTCTGACCGATAAGGAATTTTTTTTTTTTTTTTTTTTTTTTTGAGACGGAGTCTCACGCTGTTGCCCAGGCTGGAGTGCAGTGGCGCGATCTCGCCTCACTGCAAGCTCCGCCTCCCGGGTTCCTGCCATTCTCCTGCCTCAGCCTCCTGAGTAGCTGGGACTACAGGCGCCCGCCACCGCGCCCGGCTAATTTTTTGTATTTTTAGTAGAGACGGGGTTTCACTGTGGTCTCGATCTCCTGACCTTGTGATCCGCCCGCCTCGGCCTCCCAAAGTGCTGGGATTACAGGCTTGAGCCACCGCACCCGGTCAGGAATTTTTATGTGTTGATGTGTGCTCTGCATCTAGGCGATGGGACTCTCCTCTCCTGCCTGGGCCCTGCACATATTGTGTGTTGTGACACATTGCATGTTATCACGCCTAGGTGATGCTGCTCTCTCACATAAGCCCTGCTCACAGAGGCATTATAATATATTTCTTGTCTGTTTCCTATGTGATGTGTGTCTCCTCTTCTGCCTGGGCCTTGCCAAACGCGGGGATTGTGACATATTACTGGACATAGATTCTAGTTAACATGACACTCCTCTTTTGTCTGGGCCCTGGATATTTAGGGTATTGTGACATATTTTTGCACTAAACATCCAGAAAATAAAAGGCTCCTGCCTGGGGCCCGCCCACAGGAGACCTGTGACATATATCTACATCTATCACTTAGGAAATGTGGCTCTCCTCTTCTGTCTGCACCCCGTGCACAGGGGAGATGGTGACATATCACTGAGCCCGGTAAGCAGGTGATGTAACTCTCCTCTCCTGCCTGGGCCCCACATGTATTGTGTATGGTGAAATATGGCTGGATCCAACACCTAGGTGATGTGACTGTCCTGCATGGGTCCAGCCCACAAGGTTATTATTGTGTGTCTTTTTGTTCATCACCTAGGGTGTTTCAAATTTCCTTTTCTGCTTGGGCCATATCCAAAACAAAAAAAAGTATTGTGACACATCACTGGAGCCAACACTAAGTAATTTTTAGTACTTAGTACATGCCTTTGCTGATTGGGCCTAGCCACAGAAGACATTGTGACACATCATTAGGCCCAGCAACCAGGTGAAGGGACTCTGCTGCCTTAGTCCTGCTTTCAGGAGGGGATTATAACATACCGCTGGTTGAAAACACAGGTACTGTGACTCTCTTGCCTGGTTCTTACTCTCAGAACAAATTATGACATACTTCCAGCCCAGCAACAATGTGATGTGACTCTCCTGCCTAGTCACTGCTCTCAGAGAAGGTTGTAAATATCTCTGGCACAGCAGCCAGGTGATGTGATTCTCCTGCTCACTCCCTCCTTACCCGATTGTGGGATTGTCACATATATCTTAATTCAGTTTACAGGTGTCACAATGACTCTCATAACTTGAGCCAGCCAATATGAAAGATACTGTGTCTCTTAGTTGGGTTTAGGAAAATGGGTCAAATCCTAGGTCTCATTTTTGTATGAAGGTCATAGAGAACTACCCCTGTGTCACATTTCATAGAAAGCCCTTGGGTGGTACAGAGACTGTCAACACAGAGCCCAAGACACAGGTGAGGTTGTTTCTCATCATTTTCTCACACAAACAAAGCCCATTATTGAGGTCCTGAATCTTACATGCGGACACAGTCTACAGTTGAGATTGTGACTATCATATGTAAACATGTGAGCACAGTTGGGATGGTGACTCATTTTAAGCTCAGCTCATAGAAAAGTGAAGATTCTTCATTCTGGACTCAGCTAATTGGAGAGATGTTGACTCTCATACTTGGGCTTAAGGGCACAGGTATAATCATAATCCATAGAGCACAAATGCCTGAGAGCAGATTGAGAATTTCATGCATAAGGTATAAAGCCCTAGGGTGATACACAGGTGAGATTGTGACGCTCACCAAGTTGACAGCAAAGATTGTCATCTTCCCACATGAACACAGCCCATTGTTAAAGCTCTGGATTTCACAACCAAAAGCAGTCAGATGTTGGAAAGTTGACTCTCATCTGTGAATCTGGTCCACAGGTAGGTTGGTGATTATAAGACCAATATTCAGCACACCCGTGAGGCTGTAACTCACTCAGGTGAACAGCACACAGGGAAGTTTGCGCCTCTCATGCACTGTTCCAGTTTACTGTTGAGATGAACTCATGTAATTAGACCCAGCATACATAAGGCATTAACTCACGTACTCAGAAACAGGACACGTGCTGAATCATAAATATCATTCTCTGACCTTCCTGCAGGTGTAAATGTGATATATGCCTCTGGCCAGCACCTGAGTGCTTTGACTCTCTAGCCTGGCCCCAGTCCACATACAGGATTGTGACGTATCGCTGGACCCAGCACCTAGGTGATGTGACCCTCTTATCCTGCCTTGGCGCTGCCCACAGGGGACACTGTTGGGACTCACTTCTCCTGCGTGATTCCTGCTCACAGAGGGGATTGTGACCTATGACTGACCCAGCACCGAGCTGATGTGACTCTTCTTCTTCTATTTCTGTTCTTGCCTCAGGGGAGATCGTGATGTATCACTGGGCCCAGAAGCCCAGGTGATGTGTCTCTCCTTCATGTTCCTTGCTAACAGAGAACATTGTGATTTACTGCTGGACTCAGCATCCAGGTGAGCCCGTGCCCTGCTTTCAGGAGGGGATTGTAACCTATCTCTAGTCCGGGTGAGATTGTGACACTCATGCACACAAAGCTCATAGTAAAGATTTTCATTCTAGCACATAAAGTCAGTGCACTGCTCACATTAGGAGGAAGTTAAAAATTGGATAATTGACTCTCATACTTGTATGTAATTTACATGTGTCTTGGTGAATCTCAGACTAAGATTCAACTCAACTGTGAGGCTATTACTCCACAAATACGACACAATCCACAGAAGGAATTGAAGTTCTCATGCGCAGATTCAGTCCACTGTTCCTATTGTTAATTTTGTACTTAGACCCAACATACAGGACATGTTTACTCTCGTACCCAGAGTAGGAACATGTATGGGATTTTTAATCTTATCCTTGAACGCACCTGCAGCTCTGATTGTGACATAAGCACCTGAGTGAGGATGTCACAATGAAGGCATATATCCTAGGTGCTAGGGGCAGGGATATGTCACAATTCCATGTGACATTCCTGGACCTAACACCTAAGGCATATGTTTTATATTCTTCTGCCTTAACATTGCCCACATTGCATCTTGTGACATACTGCTATGTCTAAAACCCAGGATGTGAGTACCCTGCCTACATTCTGCCTACAGGGGGACTTGTGACATGTTTCTGGACCCATCATCTATTTGATGTTACTCTACTCTCTTACTTGGTATTTGCCAACGGGCAACCTTGTGACATACCTCTGGGCCAAACACCTAAGTAATGAGCCTCTCCTTTTCTTCCTGGGCTCTGATCACAGAAGGGAGAGTAACTTATCCCTGGACACAGCCAACAGGAGATGTGATGATTCTTCCTGGGTCCTGTCCATAAGGACAAGAGATACATAATTGTGATGTATCTCTGCGATCATGAACTAAATTATGTGACTCTCCTTTATTTCCAGAGAACTGTCCACAGTGTGAGTTGTGACGTATCACTTGGCACAGCATCTATGTTATGTGACCCTCCCCTCATACCTGGACCCTGCTCACTAAGGTTGTTGTAACATATGGCTGGCCGCAGCCCCTACGTTATTTTTCTCTTCTCTTATTCCTGAGCCTTAACCAAAGAAGGCATTTTGACATATTTGTGGAACCCTCCCCAGGTGAGGTGACACTGCTGCCTGGGCTCTTTCTTCAGGGTGTATTGTGCCATATTTTGGGGTACAACAGCAAGGTAATATAACTCTCCTCTACTGCTTGGGCTGTGCCCAAGAAGAGATTGTAATGTATTGCTGGGCACAGCACCTAGGGGATGTGACTGTCCTCTCCTTTCCGGGCTCTGCGTATATTCCGTATTGCAAAATATGCAGCACCTATGTGGTGTGACTCTCCTCTCGTGTTTGAGCTCTTCCCACTAGAGTGATTGTGACATATAGATGAGCCCATCTATTAGGTTATGTAACTTCCCTCTTCATTCTGATCTTTACCCACACAGATAATTGTGACATATTTCTAAGCCTCTCACCTAGATGATGTTACCTTTTTACCTGGGCCCTCCTCTCAGGGGTCAGGTATTGCTAGAACTAAAGCAGATGGTGTGACTCTCCTCTGCTGCCTAGCCTTTGCTCAAGGAAAAATTTGTAATGTTTCAATGGATCCAAGACCTAAATGATGTGACTATCATCCCTTGCCTGAACCCTGAATACATTGTGTATTGTGACATATGGCTGGGTCCAACACCTAAGTAATGTGACACTCTTGCATGGGCCCTGCCAACAGAAGGCATTATGACATATCTCTGGGCACACCAATTATTTGATGTGACTCTGCTGTTTTACCTGGACTTTGCCCATAGAAGAGATAGTGACATACCTCTGGGTCAAGCAGCTAGGTGTTGTGACTCTCCTCTTTTGCCTGTGCCAGGCCCACAGAAGGAATAATGAGTTATTACTAGACCCAGCACACATGCAATGTCATTCTTCTGCCTGGATATTGTCGACAGTGGCCACTGTGACACATCTCTGGGCCCATGACCTGACCTAGGTGATGTGTTTCTCCTCTTCTTTATGAGACCTGCCCACAGTGGTAATTGTGACATACTGCTTGCTGCAGCACCTACATAATACTACTCTCTACTCTTGCCCAAGCCCTGCCCATGGGTGTGATTGTGACAGATAAGTGAGCACTGACTCTATGTTATATGATGCATTTCTTTTTTTCTAGCCCTGCCTACCGGGTACATTGCTACATATTTCTTGTCCCCTCACCGAGGTGATGTGACACTTCTGCCTCGGTCTTTCAGGAAGTATTGACATTGTGGCAAATTGTTTCACCTAGCACCTAAGTAATGTGACTCTTCTTTCCTTTTTGGGCTCTGCTCAAGGAGGCACTGTGATGTATCCCTGGACACAGCACCTAGGGGATGTTACTCTCCTCTCCTGCCTGGGTCCAGCATACATTGTGTGTTGTAATATATGGCTGGACTCAACAAGTAGGTGATGCAACTCTTCTCCATGAGCCCTGAAGACAGGGGTATTAGATGATACAATTTACTCATCACCTAGGAGATGTGACACATTTTTATTGCCTGAGACCTGTCCAATAAGAAGATTGTGATGTATCACTTGACCCAGCATTGAGGTGAGGTGAGTTTTTTTTTTGTTTTGTTTTTTGTTTTGTTTTTTTTTTTTTTTGCCTGGCCTTGCCCACAGAAAGCATTTTGACATATCGCTGGGCCCATTACCGAGGTCATGTGACTCTGCAGCCTGCACCCTGCTTTCAGGAGGGAATTGTAACATATTCCTCGCTGAGTACCCAGGTGATGTGACTCTTCTGCCTGGTCCCTTCTGTTAGGGAAGATTGTGAAATATTCCTGACCCAGAACACAGGTGATGTGACTCATCTCTTTGCTCCCTATCCACAGGTAAGACTGTGACCTATGTCTTGGTCCAGCTAACAGTCACAATGAAGACTCTAATACCACACACTAGCCAATAGGAAAGATACTGTCCATTTTAGCTGGGATTAGAAAAATGGGTAAGATCCCAAGTCATCACAGAGCCCAGCATCCAAATGAGATTATGTTTCTCATATTCCCACCCTACCATCCATTAGGATTTTCACCATTACACGTGGACAGACCCCACAGGTGAGGTCCTGAATCACACAGTTTGACACCATCCACAGCAGGAATTGTTTCTGTCACATGCTACAGTTGGGATGGTGACTTATTTCTAAACTTAGCTCATAGGTAGGTGAGGACACTTCTATTTGGACCAAGCCAATTGAAGAGAAGTTGACTCTGAGACAAGAGCTTAGGGTAAAAATTATAACTATGTGTCCCACCAGCAGGGAGGTCTCAGAGCATATTGAGACTCTCATGCAGAAAGCCCTCAGGTGCTACAGTTTCCTGACAAGGCACAGCACAAGTGAGATTTTGACACCTGTATGCACATCCAGTTAACAAGAAATATTGTCATACTGCCACATGAACATGGTCAACTTTTGAGGTTCTGAATGTCACATTTGGAGGCAGTGGAAACTTGAAAGAGTGACTGTTATATGTGGATCCAGTCCACAGGTGGGCTGGTGACTCTCAGACCAAGATTCAGGCCACCTGTGAGGCTGCGACTCTACTAAGGAGGCGTAGTGCACAGAAGAAAGCGAGCTTCTCACGCACAGACCCAGTACAGCATTGAGATTGTGACTCATGTATTTAGATCCAACATAGAGGAGGTGTTGACTCCCATACTTAGAATTGGTTCACGTGCAAGGATTTTAACTTTATCCCTGTATTATTCTGCATGTGAGATTGTGTGACATATACCTCTGTCCAGCAACTAAGTGATTTGACCCTTTTGCCTGGGCCCAACCCACAGATGGAATTTTGACATCTTGCTAAACCCAGCACCTCCATGATGGGACGCTAGTCCACTGCCTTGGCACTGCCCACAGACAGCATTGTGACATATCACTGTCACTAGGCCTTACATCCAGTTAATGTGAGTCTACCCTTCTCTTTTGTCACTGTGCACATAAGGCATTGTGACATATCACTGGGCCCAACACCCAGGTTATATGGTTCTCCCACCTGTACCCTGCCCAAATGGCCCATTGTGATATATCGCTGGGTCCAGAACCCAGGTAATGTAACTCTCCTGCCTGGGCCCTGCCTACAGGAGGCATTGTGACATCTCTGCACCCATTAGCCAGGTGATATGACTCACTTCTGCCTGATCTCTGCTCACAGGGAACATTGTGACCTATCACTGGGCCCAGCATTGAGTTGATGTGACTCTTCTATTCTTTTTAGGTTCTTCTTGTAGAAGAGGTGGTGACATGTCTCTGGACCCAAGAGTAAGGTGATGTTACACTTTTGCCTTGGTTCTGACCTCAGAAAGCTTTATGACATATTGCTGGGCTCAGCACCAAGACGATGTGAGTCTCTTGCCTGGACCCTACCCAGGGCGGGGGGTGGGGGGGTGGCATTGTGACATATCTCTAAATTCATGAACTATTTGCTGTGACTCTTCTCACTTACTTGGGCTTTGCCATTAGAAGAGATTGTGACATGTCTCTGATTCCAGCACCTAGGTGTTGTGACTCTCCGCGTTTGCCTGTGCTATGCCCACAGAAGGTAGAGTGAATTATCCCTAGACCCTACACACAGGCGATGTCCTTCTACTGCCTGGCCATTGCCCACAGGGGTCACTGCAATGTATCTCTGGGCCCATTACCTAGATGATGTAATTCTCCTTATTTTTCTGCTTCTGTCCCCAGTGGGGATTGTGACATATTCCTTCACACAACATTTATGTGATATGATTCTCCTCTCATATCTGGACTCTGACCACTGTTGTAATTTTGACATAGGCCTGGGCTCAGCTGTCCAGGTTATGTGACTCTCTTCTTTTTTCCTAAGCCCTACCCACAGGGAGCATTGGTACATAGCTCTGGGCCCCTCACCAAAATGATGTACTCCTCATTCTTGGGCCCTTCCCTCAGTGAGTATTGTGACATATTGATGGACACAGCACCTAGGTGAGGTAACTCTCTTCTACTTCTTGGGCTCTGACCAAGGAGGTATTGTGATGTATCGCTGAGCCCAGAACCTAGGTAATGTTACTCTTTTCTCCTGCCTGACTGAGCTCAGTATAAATTGTGTATTTTGACATATGGCCTATCTTAACAACCGTGAGATACACCTCTTCTGCATGAGCCCTGCCCACAGGAGTGTTATGCCATATCTTTTTGTTTATCACCTGGGTGATATGACACATTTATTTTTCTGCCTGGGCCCTGCTAAAGAGGGTTATTATAACATGTCACTTGGCCCAGCACCTACGTGATGTGACTCTCCTTTTTCCTAGGCTCCAAATACTTGGTGTATTATGAAATAACACTCGGTCCAACACCTAGAAAATAAGAGGCTCCTGCCTGGGCCCTGCCCTCAGGGGGCCTTGTGACATATATCTGCATACACTACCTAGGAAATGTGACTTTTCTTTTCTGCCTGCACCCTCCTAACAGAAAAGATTATGACATATCACTGGACCCCGCAACAAGGTGATGAGGCCCTTTTGACTGGGTCTTGAATACACAGATCACTGTGACATATTGCTGAGCCCTCAGAGAAGATTGTGACATACTTCTGACCTCAAACCCAGGTAATGTTACTCTCCTGCTTACCCCTAATCCAGAGGAGTGACTGTGACATATAGCCTGGCCCATCTCACAGGTGTGATGATGACTCTCATACCTTGAACTGGCCGATGAAAGTGATACTGTCTCTTATAGCTAGGCTTAGGGAAAAGGTAAGATCCTGGGTGTCCTCTTTGTATAAAGATCACAGAAGTTTACCACTCTCTTGCATATTGTGTAAAGCCCTCATGTGGTACAGAGAGTGTCATCACAGGTCCAAGAACACAAGAGATGCTGTGTTTCTGGTATGCACACCCTGCTAATCCTTAAAATAGTCATCCTCACACATGCACACAACCCACTGGTGAGATGCTGAATCTCACACGTAGACACAGTCTACAGATGGAATTGTGTTAGTCATATGTGAACATCTGGCCCCAGATGGGATAGTGACCCATTTCTAAACCCAGCTCATAGGCAGATGAGTACTCTTCTATTTAGACCCAGCCAATTGGGGAGGTGTTGACTCTCATACCTGAGCTTAGAGTGACACGTACAATCATGGGTCCATATCAGCATGAAGGTCTTAATGCAGATTGCAACTCTCATGCATATCATATTATATTAGTTCATTTTCACACTGCTATAAAGAACTGCCCAAGACCAGGAAATTTAGATAGAAAAGAGGTTTAATTGGCTCACAGTTCCACATGGCTGAGAAGGCCTCAGGAAATTTATAATCATGGTAGAAGGGGAAGCAGGGACCTTCTTCACAAGGTGGCAGGAGGGAGAAAGTGAATGAAGGAGGAACTTCCAACACTTAAAACCATCAGATCTCCGAGAACTCACTCACTTTCACAAAAACAGTATGGGGGAAACTGCCCCACGATCCAACTACCTTCCTCCCTTGAGGTGCTGCACACAAGGGGCATTGTGACACGTTGCTCATTCTAACACTTAGGCGATGTGACTCTTCTGCCTGGGCACAGCCTAAAAAGGGGATTGTGACATCTCCCTGCGCTCCTCACCCAGGTAATGTACTCTCATCTCTTGCCTGGAGGGATGGTGACATATCTCTGGGCTCAGCACCTAGCTAATGTGACACTTCTCTTCTTCCTAGGTTCTGCCCACAGGGGAGATTGTTACATATATCCTGGGCCCAGCTCCAAGATGTTACTCATTTGCCTTGGCCCTGTCTTCAGAAGGTAATGTGACCTATTGCTGGGCCCGGGACCAAGGTGATGTGACTTTCTTGCCTTGACTCTGTCAAAAAGGGGGCATCTGTGGGTCCATAAATATTTGATGTGTCTTTCTTTTCTTACCAGGGTCTTGCTTATAGAAGAGATTGTTACATATCTCTGTTCCCAGCATCTAAGTGATGTAACTCTCCTCACCCGCCTGGGCCATTTCCACAGATGAAAAAGTGACTTATCATCCCTGGGCCAAGCACACAGGCAATCTGATTTATTTCTCCTAGTCTCTTTCTACAGGGGGCATTGCAAAATATCCCTTAGCCTATCAACTATTTGATGTTAATCTCTTCTCTTACCTGGGCTTTGCCCATAGGGAGGTTGTAACATATCTCATGGGCCAGCATGTAGGAGATGACACTCTTCTCTGATTGTTACATATTGCTTTGCTCACCACCTATTTGATGTGACTCTCCTCTCATGCATCGTCCTTGCCCCTTGGGATGATTGTAACATATAGCTGGCTGTAGTCCCTAGGTTATGTCACTTTCCTCTTCTTCCTGATCCCTACCCACAGAAGGCATTGTGCCGTATCTCTGGGGCTCTCGCCTAGGTGATGTGGCTCTCCTTCTTTGGTCTTCCTCTCAGAAAGTATTGTGATGTATTGCTGAACCTAGAACCTAGGTGATGTGGCTCTCCTCTACTGTTTGGGCTCTGAACAAAAAGAGATTGTGACATATCACTAGGCCCAGCACCTAAGTGTTGTGGCTCTCTGCCCTCTCCTAGGCACTGCATACATTGCATATAGTGACATACGGCTGGATCCAAAACCAAAGTAATGCAACTCTTTTGCATTGGCAATGTTGGCAGTGTCCACAGGTGTATTACCATGTATCTTTTTTTTAGCTCTGAAATTGAGCTCTGAAATAATCTGGATCTTTGATCTTTGTTCTCATCTCTATTGAGTTTAAACTTTAATCCAAAAGCCATGACAATAGTCATAATTACTGAATGTCACAAAGTGATAACTTTCTTCTCTTCCTCCTCCTTTTCTCTTTCCCTTTTCCATCAGCTCCTTTCCTTTTCCTCCTCCCCCTCCTCCCCTCCTCCTCATCCTCCTCATTATCTCCTGTTTTTCCCCTTCACTTCCTTCTCTCCTCCTCCTCTCCTTCTCCTTTCCTCTTCCTCTTCTCCTCCTATTTTTCTCTTCCTCCTTCTCCTCTCCTCCTCCTCTTCCTCTCCTACTCTTTCTACTCCTCCTTCTCCTCTCCTCCTCCCCTCCTCTCCTTCTCTTCTTCTTATGCTTTTTCTCCTCCTCTCCTTCTTTCCCTGCTCCTCTTTCTCCTCCTCTTGTCTTCCTTCTCTTCTCCTCACCTTTCCCTGCTCCTCCTCCTCATCATCTCTTCCTGCTCCTCCTCCTCCTTCTCAGTTCCTCCTTATTCTTTTCCTCTTCTCCTTGTCCTCCTCTCCTCCTCCTTTTTCTTTTTCTCTCTTCATCCTTCTTTTCATCTCCTCCTCCTCCTCCTCCTCTCCTCCTTTTTCTTCTCTTCCTCCTTCTTTCTTCCTCCTTTTCCTTTTCTTTTTCTCCTCCTCCTCCTCCTCTGCTCCTTCTCCCCTTTTCCTCCTCCTCTTCTTTCTCCTCTCCGCCTCCTTCTCTCCTCCTCCTCCTCCTTCTCTCCTCCTCCTTCTCTCCTCTTCCTCATTCTCCTCTCTTCCTCTTTGTCTCCTCCTCCTTCTTTTCCCCCCTCCTCATCTTCTCCTCCTCCTTCTCCTCTGTCTCCTCTCCTCCTTCTCATTTTCCTTTGATCCTCTTTCTCCTTATCCTCTTCTCCTCCTCCTCCTGTCATCCTTTGTCTCTCATGCTTCTCTTCCTTCTCTCTTTCTCCTCCCTTTTTTCTCCTCTTCTCTTCCTTTTTTTTCCTCCTCCTCTCCTCCTCTCCTCATCCTTCTTTTCTTTTCCTCCTCCTCTTCTTCTCCTCCTCCTTCTGTCCTCCTCCCAGCTTTGTTTTTCTCTTCATCTATCCTGGTTCCCTTGTATTCCTCTCCTGTTTATTTTCTCCTCTTCCTCTATTCTTACTATCTTCTCATTTTCTCCTCCTCTCCTCTTCTTCTTGTTTCCTCCTCCATTTTTCTCTCTACATTTTCCTCTTTTCCTCCTCCTCTTTCTCCACTCCTTCACTCCTACTCCTCCTCTTTCTGAGCTACTGGCCATGTCAAGCAGCACCCAGCACGTGTAGTGACGGTCTCTGCAGTGCTGCCCAAGAAAGACCTGATGTGCATCCATATTAGCTTTTGGAGGGTAGGAATCCGGCCCAACCCAGGCACAGAGTTTATTTATATATTTATTTATTCTATGAGAAAGGGTCTTGCTCTGTCACCCAGGCTGGAGTGCAGTGGCACAAGCTTATGACTCACTGTAATGTCAAGAGAGCCTCTCACCTCAGCCTCCCGAGTAGCTGGGATTGCAGGCGTGGCCCATCACCCCTGACTAAATGTCTTCCGTAGTGACGGGGTCTCACCACGTTGCCCAGGCTGCTCTGAAACTTCTGGACAAAAGTGCTTCTCCTGCCTTGGCCTCCCGGAACACTGGGGTGAATTTATTTGTTATAGAGCCGCCGGGACTCGGATGGTGCAAGCCTTGTAGGCCAGAAACATCTTCCGGACGCTGCTCCCCACCTTCTGCCATCTCTTTCCTGGCATCCTTCCCCTGTGGAATGAGGAACTTTCCTTCTATGGCCTTTCCAGTCCCTCTCTGGCAGGGGAGCCTGGAAACTAGGGCTCCTGCTTTCCCCCGCAGCCGCAAAGCATCAGGGGTGCTGGCCAGGAGGTGGCCTCCCGGGGCGCTCTCGCCAGGGTGTTTGGTGGAAGCGCCTGCCGAGCCCTGCTTTGCGGATTTGAAATTTCTGGGCAGAGGACACTGGCGTCGAGGGGGCAGCAGGCAGCCCTGCGCCCTGGCCCTTTCCTGGCTGGCGGTTTTGGTGTGGCCGACTACCACCTAAGGCCCAGGAAAGAACAGGGTCAGGGCCCTGCCATGGGTGCGCTTATCGTTCCTCTCGCTTCCGTTGGCGGGGTGTGTGTTTTACAGGGATCCGTCAGTGTGGAGTGCACCTTCCTTGTGCGAGTATGGGACTCCGTGCCGGGTTCCATCGTGAGTCCAGGAAAAAGGCAGGGGCGGGGTGGGGGGGCTTCTCCAGCTGGAAAAATCTGTGGCTGTTTCCGGGGCTTCCTTTTTTCCTCCCACACCAGCCTGCAACCTAGTGTCGCTTCCTCTGTCCCCAGCACCAGCCTCTGCCTGGTCCCCCCTCCCCTCATCCCACTAAGGAGCAGGGGAGGTCCTTCCCGTCACCGACGCCCTCCCTGGGAAGCGGCGCGTTTTCTCAACCGAAGGCACATCGAGGATGTCACTCACTCCGTGGCCAAGGGTGAGGACGGGACGCTGTGCCCGATCCCACTGCCTGGCGGGGCCGCTTCCTTTCCTGGCAGGGCGGAGACCTGCAGGGCGCTGGGATCCGGCCCAGGGCAGAAAGCGCTGGCCAGTGGGCCGCTTGTCAGGCGCCCTGGGCACCTGGCGATCCTCTTCGGCTCTGCATCAACGAGAGGTTATAAATGAGGAGTAAAGTTTTGTTTGTTTGTTTTGTTTTGTTTGTTTGTTTGTTTTTTCTGCTCAGCGGATTTGTCTTCCTTCTCTCCTTAGTGGTTAGGAGATAGAACACGAGCCCAGATCCGGGCCAGCAGTTCACACTCCATTACAAAACTCTATAGAGCTTCGGAGCTAGCAGCAGTACACATTCGGGGAACATGGGAGGGATTTTCTTCTTCTTTTGTGGGTGGTGATGTCAGTGGTTGTGGAGAGAGAGAGAAGGGTGAATAAAATTGTAACGATTTGGTAGGTTGAAAAACCTGTCTGGGATTTTCATTATTAGAAAATTGAACCCTCGTTCTTGCTTAAGAGTTTAGACTCAAGCTTATCCCTTTCAAAGTCAGTGGAAACTAAGTTTGTCTGTTAGATGAGAAGGCTGAAAACAGTGAGACACTTCCATCTGGAGGAAAAAAAAATGATTTCTGCAAAGGCAGTTACCAGACCATCCCCATATATTTGAAGGTTTTGTTCCTTTTTTTAGATATGTAGTGGTCCCTGCACCTGTGCACAATGATGCTGAAGTATATTTAATAGAAGGGGAAAGTGAGGGAAAGGGAATTGCAAAGAGAACAATGTGATTTTGTTTTCATTTTTCACGCCCATGAAAAGCATTCTTTAGTTTTGATGCTTTTTCAAGTAGGCAGGTAGAATTTCTAAGCCATATTTTAATCAGGGAGTCTGTTAGAGGCCAAAGTCTTGGCTAAAACCTCTTTGGAAACACACACAAAAGAAACGCTTAGTTCTGTGGTACCTTCAAGAGTCGACAGTTTTTGCAGGAATGGGTAGGAGTTCCTTTCAAAGGGTCTTGTGCTCCATTTCAAGTGAATGAAGTTGCACTGTTTATCATTTTTTAAAATACTGCTAAACTGCTTGCATGTTAGAATATCTTGTTTTTAAAGGACTTGTTGGATGTTTGATAATTTTTAGAAATGCTACTAATGCTTATGGATATAAGCATTCTCTGGGGTTGTCTAGATACCACTTTATTTCTCATCAGCAATTCAGACTGTAAGCCCTGAGCGTGGCAGACAGGTGTTTGTTATGTGATGTAAACATGCATCTCACTAAGCTAGTACAGGTGATACATTCATACCTAACTTATTACACTATCCAAGTGACTATTTGATGTTCCTGCAACTAAACATTCCCATCTAGGGGAACATTTTTTATTTTAAGTCACTTCAGGCAGACCCCTGAGGTCTTATTTGCATCTGAAACAGGCACAGCATGTTGAAGGGAAAAAAATAAACCTTATCTTATTAGTCCTGCATTAGATCAATAGCTGTTAATTAACAACCTGGTGTATGCCAGGCACTGTACAACATAGGTGCCCTGGTAATAAATGACTGGTAATAAATGTAGTCAGAAGAACACTGTGGCTCAGGCCCGTAATCCCAGCACTTTGGGAGGCTGAGGCGGGTGAATAAACTGAGATCAGGAGTTTGAGGCCAGCCTTACCAACATGGTGAAACCTCATCTCTACTAAAAGTACAAATTAACCGGGCGTGGTGTCACATGCCTATAATCACACCTATTTTGGGAGACTGAGGCAGGAGAATTCCTAGAACCCAGGAGGTGGAGCTTGCAGTGAGCTGAGATTGCGCCATTGCACTCACCCACTCACTCACTCAATCAATCAGTCAATGTAGTTGCCCTTCATCAGGGATCCTCAACACCGGGGCACAGACTGATACT